TTGTTCTCGTCGTCTCTCTGCCTCCCCCACCATTGGGCCTGTCGGAGGTGACCGATCCTCGTTCCTTGAAGGCTCCGACTCCCCCCGTGGCCTCTGGGCCCGTGGGAAGCTACGGGCGCGGTGGACGACCTCCCGGGGCCCTTTGTCACAGTCTGCGACGGGCCGAGCCAAGTCTGTGGCCATCCGTGTGTCGGTGAGTCGGTTCGCACCTGCGCCAGCATTGACGGCGTCGAGCGCTCGAGCCTGACCTCGGCACGTCCCGTGTTTCTTCACGCTCTGAGGGCGCTCCGCCCGTCTCGTGGCCCTCCCCTGCTTGCCCTCCTCCTCCTCCTCCTCCTCCTCCTCCTCCTCCTCCTCATCCCCCATTCCTTTTCCTTAAAACTATGTTTTCCTTGTCGCACCCGAGGCCAGTTTCTAGGGCGGGCCAGGCGTTTCGCCTGAGACGTCCTCATTATTTATGTTTCTGAAGCTTACAAGTTGGCAACAGTTTCCAAGATGGAGGGCGGGTGGTTTTCAAACTGTGGTTTTCGCCTTAACGCGGCGCCGACTCGCTTAAAACATTTGCAACGGTTGCGCAGATTGAGGGCGGGTGGTTTTCAACATGTGGCTCTCGCCGTAGCGCGGCGCACCTTCGTTTTAATCCTTGCCAAAGTTTCACGGATTGAGGGCGGCTCCTTTTCAAAACGTGGTTCTCGCCCTAGCGCGGCGCTCATTTGTTATAAGAATATGCAAGAATTTCACGGATTCCCATCATCAGCGTGTCTGAAACCTGCTATTGAAAAGATGCTGGATTTTGCGGGTGAAATAGTTATGTTGATTCGCTGTGTTGAAGTCCCAGGAACGGCTGTTCTGGCGCGGCTCAGGATTGTCAAGTCGCAAAAGTCAGGTTTATCCGTGGCGTTGAAATCCCGAGAGCAATGTTTTGGCATGCTTCAGGGTCTTCAAACGGTTGTCTTCCAAAGAGGCAGTGCCTTCAATGGAAATGAACCGTTGTAAGGGCCTACGAAGAGGGAGCTTGGAAGGACGGTTGATTCCAACATCGTTGACGACTGTTGTGCTTACACTGGTTTTCCTCCTCCTCGTCCTCCTCCTCTTCCTGCTCCTCCTCTTCCTTCTCCTCCTCCGCCTCCTCCTCCTCTTCCTGCCCCTCCTCTTCCTTCTCCTCCTCCGCCTCCTCCTCCTCTCCCCTCTCCTCCTCCTCCTCCTCCTCCTCCTCCTCCTCCTCCTCCCCCTCCTCCTCCTCCTCCTTTTCCTCCTCCTCCTCCTCCTCCTCCTCCTCCTCCTCCTCCTCCTCCTCCCGCTACTGCTCTCCCCTCCCACTGGTGTGCCCAGCTCGCTTCCGACGCGCCCCGTCGACAGGCGGCCGCCTGCTGGAGAACCAGCTCGCCGCAGGCCCAGAAGCGTGTCGACGGGTCGGGCAGGCGAGGCGTGCCGGCGGGGCGCTGTCCGTACGGTGGGCCACTCTTTCGGAGACGAGCGTGTAGACGCGTCAGCGCTTGCAGCCTTGGCCTCAGCACCCGGGTGCGGTCGCGATGCAGCTCCGCGTCCTTTCTGCCTGGTCGCCACCCCGCACAGACCGGCCGCACGGGCCACTCTTGCTGACACTCTTCCCGCGGTGAGTGCCCCACCCCTCGCCGGTTTTCTTCGGCCGCCCTCTGCCTCCTTCCCTCTCTGCCGCCAGTGAATCAGTACGCCGCGCGCCCCTGGCCACTAGAGCGAGCGCGCGCGCGGATCGCCGCTACCGCGCTGCGACGTAAAAGCAGTGTGTAGACGCGTCCGCGGCAGGCGTCTGCGTGATCTCCGCGCCCTCCTGGCGCGCGCGCGCTCGAAAAGCACGATGACCAACAAAGACGCACGTGGCGTGTGGTGTTCGCGGGGGTGGGTGGTGCATCGGGGCGCGGCTACATCAGGGGAGGTCGAGTTCCCTTGAACATACCACTCAGCCGGGACTTGCTCGACCGCGGGACTGGACTTCGAGGGGTGGGTGGGATTCGATCCCTTTATACTTGTTCATGGACTGAGACTGATACATCTTGACAAGGGAACATGCCATGAATGATACTGGAGGATGGGTTCAAGTCCGTCGCGCCACAGCAGCGGCTGTTCGCTAGGAGTTTAAGGGGGGGCTCATCATCAGGATCACGTTGCTGATGGTCGTGGTCCATCATCATGAATATGGCCGTCATGGTCATATCTTCATGGTGGCGGTAATCATCAGTATACTGACCGTGATCATCACCATCGACTTGACGGTCGCCAACACTGTAAGTATGGTCGCGATGAAGATGACCATGGCTGTCACCAGCAATCGGATCATCGTGGACCAATCGCCGAACGCGCGAACACATCAACTTGCCACACCTGTCCCGCGCAGTGCCCATTTGATGAGCAGTTACTGGTACGTGCACAGCGTAGTGTCAATCGTCAGTCGTGTGTCGCGCACGCGTTTCATGTTTTGAGTTTGATCTAGGCGCTTTCTGTATTCGGCTCGGGCGCAATCGTGTTCGTCGTGCGCCCGCATGGCAGCACGACTCAAGCAACTGCTACCATCCAAAACAGTGCTTGTACTCAGGGGCCCTTGCTATCGTCTTTTTATTCATTGTTTTGTCAATCGGCGCGGGCCCTCGCCCCCCCCCCCCTTCCCCCAGTTCGTGGGGCAGATCTTGGCTGTTTAGGGGGCGCCTGTTTCGAGCAGGTGGGGCCTCCTCCATGGGTTGCGCTGCTGCAAACGGTCGTATTAGGCAGAGGTCCAGAGCCAGACCCCCCCCTCCCCCCCACCTTTCCGCCCAATGTCGAAACGCCGAATAAGAAAACGCTCACTTTGTTTGCCTTCCTTGCGAAACAGTTGCTTCTCGTTGCTGCGACGTCTGGTCGCCGCCAGCAGGGGCCCTGTCGGCGCCCACACGGGGGCCGGGAATCCCGGGTCGAATCCCAAGTCCCGCTGGCCTTCCTCGTTCGATTTCCTGGTCGCCCCGTTTGTTGTAATTCGATGGTCGCCGCACATACAGTCAACACGTATAGGAAGCATGTGCAATTTTCCCAAGGGCACCTTTGCATCCCTTCGGCCCATCCTGAGCGACTTTCGCTGGCCATCCTCGTTCGGAAAACGCGAACGTGGCCCCCAAGGCCCTTGCATCATTACCGCGCATCCTTATGATAATTACGGGTTGAGTGTACAGGGGTTCCCAGTCTCGACGGCCTGGCGATTTCTTGGGCGCCGCCCGCCCTGGTTGTTGCCCTTTTTTGTTTTTTGTTTGCCGCCAAGTGTCCTGGTCCTTCTGGCCCTGGCTTTTGCGACGAGGTCGCCGGCCATATGGTCCCATGCCTTGCGGGCCCTGGTTGTTGCGATTCTACAGGCTTGCGCCACAACCGCCGACCTTCTCATACGATGTCGTTATGTGTGGGCCCAGTTCTGGAGGACATGCTGCAGGGGATGCCCAAATGAGATGTCCCGCCACCGTGCCTGGGTTGTGGGTCGAAGTTTCTTGGATGCTTGTTGGGGTCTCTTGGAAAGCTTATGGGGAACATTTGGGAGGTAGTGTTGAAGCCATTTGGGGCCTCATGGGGGCCGTTTGGGGGCCTCTTGGGGCACCGTCTGGGCTTCTTGGGGCCCCTTGGTGGCTTCCTGGGAACCTCCTGACGATCTTGGGGGCTCCCTTTGGGCTGGAGAACTCGACATCTCCGTTCGACTTCCCCGTCTTGGGCCCATCCTGGGGCCCTCTTGGGGCCCCCGTAGACGCCTCGTGGACGGCTCTTGGGCCGTCCTTGGGCTCTCCTGAGCCGTCTTCGGACCCTTTTAGGGGCCTCTTGGGCCGTGTTGGGGCGATTTTGGGCGCCTCCTGGGCCGTCTTGGACGGTGTGGGAGCCCGCGAAACAAACATGAGCAATGCTGAACGTTTACGTTTTCCTTGGGATGATGCGACGTGTGCCTCTTGGGGCCTTCTTGGGGCTGCTCTCGGGGCCCTCTTGGAGGACCTTTTGGGCTCCAAGTGGGGAGGCTCGGAGGCGACCTGGCCTGTCGCCGGCGGCTCTGAGGGCCTGGTTGCGGCCGCACTGGGGTCTCTTTTTATTGCAATTTTCCCAGCAAAAAATCGGCACTCCTGGCGGCCATGCGTGGTTCATATCTAATTTGGTCGTTGTCGTCTGATCGCAACGAGAGTTGCCGTGCCCACTCTGCGTGGAACATCTGGATGCTGGATGCAAGCTGCTAGCCGTGAGCCCGCGCGGGAGATTCCATTCCATTGATGCTCGTCGACATTGGGCTTGGTGTGGGATGTTTTCTTGGCCGTCTTGGAGACCTGGGGTGCCGCCTTGAGGCCCCGAAGAGGAGCAGGGGCAGTTGCCCCCCCCCCCCCCCTTCAGGAGCCCAGCCGGGTCTTGTCTTGCCGAGAGGGAGGGGTAGAATTTCCGGTTTGGGGTCCCAGGGGGCGGGATTTTGGAGGGAGGAGATCGTTTTCTACCTTTCGGGCAATACCGCGCGTTATGCCCCCTACCCTCCCCCTCCCGTCCCCCCCCCATAACGTAACGCTCCTCCCCTCAACGCAACCTGGGCACTGCCGCAGTGCGTCTGGCACCACAGTCTCAGGGGGGGGGGGGGCGCTGCGTCATGCCCTCTCCCGTCCCCCCCCTCCCCGCCATAACTAACGCCCGTTATGGCCGCGAATCAAAAATGCGCTCAAGGTATTTCACTCGCGTCGGCGAATTTTCTGCCGCCGCCCATCTGGTCCCAGGTCCCGCGAGCCCCGCTTGTTGCCATTTCGAGGCGCTCCCATGCTGGGAACAGTCTTGCGTGTGGGCCCACGCTGATCTTACTCGACACGGGTTGCACAACGGCAACACACACATTGACGTATCTTGGTTGCTCGAAAGGTTCAGATCTATGCTCCCAGGTTTCGAAGGGCAGCATACTCTGCACAGAGACGCAACACCTGCATGAGTGGGAGAGCCTCTTCGCCAGCCTTCTTCTTGCGCTATGTATACTCCGCGTAGGAATTGGCAAACGCGTCTCTGTGAATTGGATATGCATCTTAACCTGATCCATCACGAAGGGGAGTCCTCAATTCGAAGCCAGCAGGCCAGAGCGAGCTGTGTCATCGCGGGAGGTTGAGTGATGATGCGCCACCGCCAGGTGGCTATCAAGGTGTACAAGACTGACAAGCGGGGAGGGACTTCCTCGGTGACCTTGATGAAGTTCCGGAGGTGCGGGCAGGGACACTGCACGGCATGCTTGTCACCAGGTTTTCGTTATCATTTGGGACGGTATGTCGCGCGATTGCATGTTTTATCATCCGGAGTGGTTTTTCTATTCAAGTTTTCCGCTGCCAACGGTCGACGGTCCTATCCAGGCAGGGTTTCCCTCATGTGTGAACCAGGGCGCGTGGCCAGTGAGTCTGATCTTGTGCAATTGACAGCCCCCAGACGGCCCTAGAGGGCCCCGAGACGTCCCAAAAGGCTCCGGGACTGCCCAACAGGCTCCACGAGGTCTGAATAAAAGCTAGAGAGGCCCCAGGAGAGGCCCGAAGGAGCTTCAAAAAATACCCAAGCAGTAGTAAGCAGCAGAACACAGCGGCAGACAGTAGCAACCATCAGAAAGCAGCACCAAGACGGCCAAGAGAGCCTCAAGACAACCCGAGGCACCGCCAAGACGGCCCCCACAAGTACCCACGACGCCCCCTGACGGCCCAAGGAGCTTCCAAGACGGCACCCCAGAGGGCCCCAACGGAGCCTTTTGAGCTTAAGGGAGCTTCGAATCTGCGCAGGAGGCCCCAAGACGGGCGAGCAGGCCTCAAGGTAAGCCCCAAGAGACCTTGGCGGCCGCAAACAGCGGCACCCACAAGCAGACAGCAGCAGCCAGCAGCACCAAGCAGAAGCATGTAGCAACAAGCAGTTACAAACAGCAGTAAGCAGTAGCCACCGCAGCAAACGACTCGAGCAGTCTAGCTTCCCGTTATGCCCGAAGCACGTGTGTGTGTGTTATGTGTTATGTGTTTGTTTGTGTGTGTGCGTGCGTGTGTGTGTGTGTGTGTGTGTGTGTGCGTGCGTGCGTGCGTGCGTGCGTGCGTGCGTGCGTGTGTGCGTGTGTGTGTGTGTGTGTGTGTTCCAAGGCTTGCAGCCAAGGCACGGGATCGTGGTTCTGGGAGCGCAGATCCATTGATCTTTTACGAGCGATCGTGGCTGCGCGAGGGCGAACTCATCATTTCGATTGAGGTCATGGCTGCACGAGAGGGATCGTGGCATCGGAAGTGCGGATCCATTGTACGACGAGACGCGCGAAGCGATTTTCGTTTGGATTCGAAGCAAATCCAGGGAGCACTCGCCATCGCCGAACGGACACCCTTTGAGCGTACGACAGGAATCGCGACGCGATTCTCGCTCGCACTCGAAAGCACAAACTGGGAGTTTGAGAGGGAGAGGACCTCGCCGTAAACGAACCAACACCCTTTGAGCGCACGACCAGAAAGAAAGGGCGGTTCGCGTCATGTATATCCTCAACATCGAGACTTCGAAGGAGGCGTTTTCGTAAGTTCGCCTCTTGGGTTCCAAGAGGGGGCTGAGACGCTTCAAAAGGGCCTTACGTGAGAGAACCCCAAAAGCGCAAACACGGCCCCATTGCGCCTCCAAGCTGGTCAAACACGGCTGTTTCGCTTGAGACATCTTCCCATTTTGGAGATGCCGATGGAGATGTTTCGCAAAGTTTGCTTCATGGTCTCCAAGGAGGGCCTGAGATGGCTCAAGAGGGCTCCAGGAGAGCCCCAAGAGAGCCCAAAGAGGACCCCAGGATGATTCTGCTGGGGTTTTTGTAGGGATGCGGGCTCTTGTCATGCGCCTCTGGGTATCGTTGGAGTCGTCGCCTGGGAGCCTCCTGGTGGCTTCTTGGATGTCTCCTGGCGTCTCAGTGGCCTCTTAGGCCAGCTTGGTAGTCCCTTGAGGAGTTCCAGGTGGTCTTGGAGGTCTCTCGGGGGCTTCCTGGGCCGTCTAAGGGGCCTATTGAACGGCTCTTCGGGGCTTCTTCGGCGCTGTCTTAGGTGCCTATTTGGGACCACTTGGGTCGTCTTTGGGGGCTCGTGGATGCGTATTGGGACCTTTCTCGGCAGCCTCTGGAGCCTCTTGCGAACAAGAGGCCAGCGTTGCCAGAAACAGTCGGTCCTGTGTGGGCCGTCTTGGGAGCCAAGCAGGGCCAAGCACATTGCATCCTGCATGGTTTTTCGCGTCCGCTTTTTCGGCTTCAGAGATGAAGAAGGGTGGCCTTACATGGGGGAGGGGGGGGACACAGTGGGGTTTAAGGACTGCAGAGAGGAGCTTGTGACCGTTTTCTGATCAATTGTTTTGCCGACCCGCGCGGGCCCTCGCACCCCCCCATTCCCCCCCCCCATGGAGTAGATCTTGGCTATTCGGGGCGTCTGTTTCGAGCAGGCGGAGCCTCCTCCACAGGACGCACTGCTGCAACCAGTCGCACTAAGCAGAGGTCCGGAGCCAGACCCCCCCCCCCTTCTGCCCAGAGTCGAAACTCCGAATCAGAGAACGTTCACCTCCAGCTTTAGAGACCAGGAAGGGTGGCCTTACATGTCACCGAGCGCGTTCCACTACTCGCAAAGTGCCTACTCGCAAACGTCTGAAAAAAGCATGTCGTCCTCTGTGTTATGTGGCGTAAATCCCCCGCGGTGGATCCAGGCCCGTTGCGAGTAGTTACTCTGCGAGCAGTGGAACGCGCTTCTCCAACAGGGGGGCGGGGGGCGGGGCACCGTGGGACCGCAGTGGGCTGCGGAGAGGAGCTCCAGGGCACGCCCGCCGGGCCACCCGCAGCCCCTTGGGGGAGGGGGGGGCGGGCGGCCTGCACGGTTGCAGCGCGCTGCGACCTGCCGGCGGCCAGCAGCGCCCTCGGGCGGAGCGTGTCGCTCGGGCGGCTCTGCTCGGTCGCAGGCCACGGGGAGCCTCGTACCTTTTGGCATGTCCTTCTGGAGTGCACCAGCGTCGATTACAGCGCTTGGTAATCGAAGGGACAGCGCCGACTTCGCGTCGATGTAGCGTCGACTCGCGTCGGTGTGGCGTCGACTCCGCAAGAGCGGTGTGGCGCCGACCACCTCCCGGCCCCCAGGCGTCGACGTCCCGAGCTGCTCCCCGCCGGCCGCCCCGCGGAGCGCGGAGCAACACGCCGCCCGCCCGCAGGGCATGCCGTGCCGCTGGGGCCGCCGCCGTGACGCGCTCTGCACACGCCCCGGACCGCCGATGGAGGTGCCGCTGGCCGCCGCCTGGCGCTGCCATTGGCTGAGCCGATCGGCTGCGGAAGCCTGGCTCGCGCAGACTGGTGCCCCCCGCAGGGGGCGGTGGGGACGGCGGAGATGGTAGGTTCATGCGGCGTTGGCGTGCCGGCGACGCCCGCGAAGGCGTTCAAGGTTGAATTCTGCGACGTGGAAGCACCGATGGACACGGTAACGCCACTGGATCCGACTGAATTGAACCTTGAACGATCGGGGCCGCGATCGATTCGAGGTTGAACGATTGACGCGGTGTCAAAAATCTTGGCTGGCGCGCGCCGACGCCGCATGGACTTACAGTGGAGGCCCATGCCACGAAACACCCTGCTCGCCTCCAGGGTGCCCTGGGTTTCGAGGGTTTCGAGGGTTTTGCGATGGAAAGCGCGACGCTCCGGGTCTCAGGGTTGGGTTTCTTGTGAAGGTTTCTTGTGGTCGGGCCTCCACTGTACCGGACGACCTTCGGCCCGCTCAGTCGGGCGTTCGGTAGTGGAGGGGCGATAAATGGGGGAGCGTCGAGGATTGCACGAAAGGCGCCCTAAAGGGGCCCTAAACGAGCCCCCTAGGGCCCCGAAGGGGTACGAAAGGTGCACGAAAGGTGCACCTGTCTTACCCCCCCCCATCTATCGCCCCCCATTAATGATTGCCCGGCTCAGGGAAGCGTCCCGGTAGGTAACCTCGAGCGCCCCAGCGGAGTCGTCCTGGCAGGTGCCTTCGGGCTGCTCGGGGGCAGCGTCCAGGCAGGTGCCTTCGGGCGCCTGTAGGCGCCCCGGCAGGTACACACATGTCATGCCACGCTCGCGTGCCCAGCCGCTGTCGCGTGCTTGGGGAAGGCGTGCAGTGAGGACCTTTGCGCTGAGAAGCGGCCTGGAGCGCCGAAGAGGTTTTCGCTGGGGAGGCGCGACCAGCTTGTTTTTTCCTGCCTGCATATCTCTCCCTCTCCGTCTCTTGCTCTCTGCTCCTCAACCTGCACCTGCGGTCGGAGCGAGGTGTAAGATCGAGGTCGGTTCGGCGACAGTACCCCAGTGTTCTTCGTGTCTTTGGGATATCACCGTGCATCCTGGGGGGTGCACCCCAGGATGTCCTGTGTGCTCTGGCCGGCGGAGGGCCCCATGTTCTTGAAGGATGCTCCTCTATCCTACAAGCCTCGTCAAACATATCCAGAAATGGAAGTTGAAATCCTGGAGCACGATGCTTTCGGGCACTTGTCAGAAAGCGCGTTCTTCAATGCTGAGAGGGTGGGGCCGATTTTTTGACAGCGCCGCGTCCGAGTCAACAGGCATCCGTCAGCGTTGGAGTAGCGCTGATTCCACGATCACCGAATTTAGAGGTCCTCTGTTCCCCAATCAGAGCTTGCCTCTGTAGGGGTCCTAGCGGATTCATATGGTTAGGTTAGGTTTGCCGCCGATTTTCGCCGCACGCCCGGGTGCCTGGGTGTGCCCGGGGGTGCCCGGGGGTGCCCTATAGCCCTATAGCCTTAAGCCCTATAGCCCCATAGCCCAATAGCCCTATAGCCCTACAACTCTATAGCCCTATAGCTCTATAGCTCAATAGCCCTATAGCCCTATGGCCCTGTAGCCCCCTAGCCCTATAGCCCTGATTGTTTTTTTTCTCCGGTATCATTTATTTTTGACGAGGCTTGTAGTTCCGACCATAGAGCTCGTGCCCTTCCCTGGACCGTGCCACGCTTCCTGGAGCCCCCGCGCGGTGACGGCGGGCTCGGCGTGGCGGGCCGGGGCAGGCAGATTGCGGTGCTGAAGCAGCTGCAGGTGCCGCTCTCGAAGCCGGCGGATCCCAGGCGTGTGCGCCTCCGTCGCGCCACGTCTCCGCCAGGATCAAGTCGGGCCTGTCCCTCGACAGGGGGGATGTTCAAGAATAGTCAAAAGATAGTCTGGGGACGATTTTTTCCGCATTTTTAGTTTTTCTTGGATATGTTTTGAATCTTTTCTATTTTGCCTCCAAAATCCGCCTGTAGGGGGACATGCCCGACCTAACGCCAGGAGGAGGGAGAAGGAGGATTCACACAGGTTGTACAAGCTGCATGACACTTAGTGGCCGTGCAGTTCGTTTGTGTGTGTGTGTGCGCATCGGTGCTCGTGATTGCGCGTGCCATACGTCGCTGTATGTATGGGTTCGTTTGGGTTGTCGATTCGGTTACACGTATGCGTCTCCGTCGCGTCACTCGCCATCAGGAGGAGGGAGACAGAGATCATGGCGCCAACATCGCAGAGCGGATTTCGTTCGGAAAACGAAAGGATGGGCCCGGAGTGTCCTGGAGAATTTCGTTCCAGATTTCGATGTGAGTTTCGTGCGAATTTTTTTGGCCAGGATGAAGACTAAAAAACATCCACCCGACTTCGTTTTTCATTCGCCGTTTCGGGGTTTGCATTGACAGAAATCCACGCACAAATCCGCTGCAGCACGTCTGCAAGATCGGTGCAGTGACAGAGAAGGAGGAGGGAGGATTCACACAAGTTGTACAACCTGTACGACACTCCGTGGCTGTGACAGTCGGACCGGGGCATAAGATCGAGGTCGGTTCGGGGAGGGTGTCTTAATGTTAAGTCGGGCCTGTCCCTCTACAGGAGTAATATTCAAAAGTAGTAAAAAAAAATAGTCTGGGGACGATGTTTTTTTTGTTTTTTACAATTTTAGAATATTGTTTGGATACTTCTGATTTTTCGTCCAAAATCCGCCTGTAGGGGGACATGCCCGACCCAACCCTGATGCTCTTCGAGTTTGATGGATGTTCTTGTGCATCCTGGGGGAGGGTGCCCTCGAAGGCTCTTCGGCTTGGCCGGCGGAGTGTCTCATGTTCTTGAAGGTGACCGTTTTTGTTATTCATTGTTGTGCCGATCGGCGCGGGCCCCCCTCCCCCCCTCCCCCCCCATGGAGTAGATCTTGATTGTTTTGGGCGCCTGTTTCGAGCAGGTGGAGTCCCTCCCCAATCGGACACGATGTTACAAACAGTCGCATTAAGCAGAGGTCCAGAGCCAGACCTTCCCCCTCCCCCCCCCTTCCGCCCAATGTCGAAACGCCGAATAAAAGAACGCTCACAAGGATGTTCTTCTGTCCCAGGTCTTGAGGAAGCTAGGATAGGGTGCAGGGGGAGGCCAGAACAAACAACAATTACCCTTACCTTCACGTCCCTTAGAATGCCTGGGGTGGAATTCTGGAGGGGTGCTATGGGCGCGTGTTGTTGGATGGGGGGCACCGCTCGAGCGGGATTCACCCCGACAATTCGCACCCATACCTACAGCGCGATCCTCGCCTTGCCCTTCCCCAGTCAGGCCTCGGGACAAATCCGCCGACCCTGTCGGCGTGTGGAAGATGCTTTTCCGTTCGTCGTGAACGTCGTCGTCGTCGTCGCCGTCGTCGTCGTCGTCGTCGTCGCCGTCGTCGGCGCCGTCGTCGATGCGCTTCCGTTCGTCGTCGTCGTCGTCGTCGTCGTCGTCGTCGTCGTCGTCGCCCTCCCCTCAGGCGCGCCAGCCAAAGCGAAACCAAAGCGAAATCGAGCAACGTCGTAGCTGAGTCGAAGGCAAAGCGAAATTGAGCAACGTCGTAGCTGAGTCGAAGGGAAGCCCCTTCCCTTTGATCCCTTCCCCGCCGAGGGGGGGGGGGGGTGTCCCGGGGGGGGTCCCGGGGGGTGGGTGGGGAGCAGATACGCATCCCCCCCGGGATGTCCCGGGACCTAGAAAAGCCCCCAGACTGGCCAAGAGTGCCCCAAGAGGCTTCCAAGACGGCTCCAGAGGGCCTCGAATCGCCGAACCATCGGTCGAAGACGCCAAAGTAGCCTCCAGACGGCCCAAGAGATTGCCAAGACGCTCCAAGAAGTCTCCAAGAGCACTCCCAAGAGGGCACGAAGAGGGAAAAATCAATGATTTCCTTAAAGTTTTGGACAGATTTTGGCGTTCTCGCCGTTTCAACTTGCCGACGCTCCAAGACGGCCCCAGATGCCCCCAAGATTGCCCCAAGCCCCAAGATAGCCCAAGAGGCCTCAAGAGAGCCCCAAAATGACCCAAGAGAGCCTCAAGACCGCCCAAGATGCCTCCAAGGTGGCCCCAGAGGCTCCCCAAACGGCTCCAACAGGGTGCCCAGACGGGGGGCCCGACGAGCCCTCGGCGACAGAGGCTCCCAGGAAGCCCCAAGATACCCCCAAGAGGCCACCACGAGACCCCCAAGAGGCCACCAGGAAGCCCCAAGAGGCCCCCCCCGCCACATTAGAGAACGCATGGGTCGCCCTCCAGGGTCGGCGGCACCGGCCGTAAGGCCTTCGCAATAGCGAGCTATCATGCCACATTCCTCTGTCAACGCTTCCCCCTCCCCCCAATGTTCAAAGTTGGCGGTGGGTCTGATGAGGTGCACTTCGACCGCAGTCTCTTCCGCGCGTACCAACTGTAAATTTTTGGGGAAGGGGAAGTGTCCACGAATTGTTTCCCTCGGCCGTATTTCAGCGTCTTGATGTTAGGGCGGAAATGCCCACCCTACTTTCGGGCTCCTTTGATGTCGATCTCCGCCCCCACTGTGCCGCCGCTGTTTCTGCCATGCTTCTGCGGACATGTCCGCCCTACTTTTCTGAGGCGGGAAGTTCCGCCCTCCTTGCTCGAATCGTTGGGGTGCATCTACCGCTCCTCCTGTGTATGGTCGGAGTGTGTGCGTTGTCCGTGGAGGAGGGAGGAGGATGGAAACCCCAGCGGCCTGCTCAACGCGAGAGCCCAGCACGGGGCGGCGGCGGGGCCCGTTGGGGAGGAGGAGGAGGAGGAGGAGGAGGAGGAGGAGGCGGAGGAGGAGGAGGAGGAGGACGAGGAAGATTACGAGGAGGAGGAGGAGGAGGAGGAGGAGGAGAAGGAGGACCAGTTGAACTCAAGAGTCATCAACGATGTTGGAATTACCCCCCCCCCCTCCAAGCTCCCTCTTCATAGGCCCCTACAACGGTTCATTTCCGTTGAGGGAACTGCCTCGTTAGAAGAAAATAGGTTGAAGATCCTGAAGCGTGCCAAAGCATGGTTCTCGGGACTACAACGCCACGTATCAACCTGACTGCTGCGTCTTGACGATCCAGAATCGTACCAGAACGCCAATTTTGGGACGTCAACACAGCGAATCGACATAACTGCTGCGCCGGCATAATCCAGAATTGTTCCAAAACTCCATTTCTGGTACGCTGATCATGGGAATCCGTGAAATTCGTGTCAATTTTCAAAACGAACGTGCGCGGCGCTAAGGTGAGAGGCACATTTTGAAAAGGAACCGCCCTCAATCCGTGAAACTCTTGCAAATGTTAAGAACGAATGTGCGCGGCGTTAAGGCGAGAGCAACATTTTGAAAACGACCCGCCCTCAATCCGTGAAACTCTTTTAGTTTTTAAACAAATGTGCGCGGCGCAAGGCCAGAGCCACATTTCGAAAACGACCCGCCCTCAATCCGTGAAGCTCTTTCAAATCTTAAGAACGAATGTGTGCGGCGCTAAGGCGAGAGCCACATTTTGAGAACGACCCGCCCTCAATCCGCTAAACTCTTGCAAATGTTAAGAACGAGTGTGCGCGGCGCTTAGGCGAGAGCCACATTTTGAAAACGACCCGCCCTCAATCCGTGAAGCCTTTTTAATTTTTGAAATCGAATGTGCGCGGCGCTAAGACGAGAGCCACATGTTGAAAGCGACCCGCCCTCCATTTTGTGAAGCGGCTACCACTTTTTAAGCTTCAGAGTCATAAGTTGTGGGGAGGTCTCAGGCGAAACGCCCAGCCCGCCCTGAAAATTGGCCTCGAGGCGCGACACGCGACAGGGAGGAGTTATCTACCAGGAGAAGGAATGGAGGAGGAGGAAGGGCGGTGGGTGAGTCGGGGGAGTCTGCCCGAGTCTCAGTGTCGCCTGTCACTTCAACTTACACATTATATCTCATCATGGGGGACCATGGGGTCGGGTACCTTGGTAGCAACAGGCTGCAGCGTACATGTTGAGTCGCCTGTACTTTCAACTCCACTGCTGCACGCGTATTTCCTTCCTCCCTCCTTCGGCTCTTCGTCGTTCGACTTGCTAAGGTTCAGCAGTACTATCGTTCGCTTCGTCCTCCTCTACTTCACCGTCTGGCTGGCGCATACTCTTTTCCCCTGCGGGCACTCTGTCATTGGCTTCGCCCTTGCGCCTGTCCTTTTTTTGTTTTCCGCTGCGCCAGTCAGGCTTAATTTGTTTGCCTTAGACCTAAGTCGGCCTCTTCTTCTTGCAATTCAGAACGCTGCGATCCCCGTGCTACAAGTCCGATCAACGTCCAAACAAAAAGGAGGAGGAGGAGGAGAAGGAAGAGGAGGAGGACCAGAGTACGAGGAGGAGGAGGAGGAGGAGGACCAGAGTACGAGGAGGAGAACGAGGATTTCGAGGAGCAGGAAGGGGAGGGCCCGAGTACGAGGAGGAGGAATAGGAGGAGGAGGAGGAGGCGGAGGAGGGCCCGAGTACGAGGAGGAGGAGGAGGAGGAGGAGGAGGAGGAGGAGGAGGAGGAATAGGAGGCGGAGGCGGAGGAGGCGGAGGGCCCGAGGCCGCGCGCGCCCTGGCCGCCGCGCGCTTCACGGGCGGCCCGGCCCCCGCGCTGGGCACGCCGCCTGCCGGGGCGCGCTCGGCCCGCGCGCGGGCGGCGGGCGCCGCCCGCGGCGGGGGATGCTCAGCGCGGCCGCGCGCACGGGCGGCCTCTCAGACGGGGGGCGGCCTCCGCTCGGCAGCGCTCGAGTCGCGGAGAAGTGTAGCGACGGGAGGCTTTTTTCGTCATTTTCGGCCTCCGGGGGCCCTCGCGGGGCCTCGGGACCGTCAACCATCGACTCGGGACGAAGAGCTGGTCCCAGGGGGCTGGGTCGAGACCTCTGGGGGTCGACCCTCCCGTCGTTCCTTCTTTTTTTCGGGCCTTCGTCGCCTCCGCCGGATTCGCCTCGAGATTCTGGTCACGACGCACCCCGGGAGAGGTCTGGGGAGCAGCGATATCGTTTTTTTTCGTATCCCCAAGAGTGGCTTCTGCTCGGCATCGCTCGGACGTGTGCATTTTTGTTCGGCGAGGGCCATCGGGGAGCGTCTTGACTCATCTTGCAAAACAGGTAGGGAGAAGCACGCGCGAGGCCAAAAGATGCACGGGGAAGGGACGTCCGAACGATGGCAGGTGTCCGCGGCGTTCGGGCGTCGATTAACGTGGGAACTACAAATGCGGGGGGGGGGGGGGCGGCGTGTGGGGGGGGGGGGGGGGGGAATCGTGCCCCTTTCGTGCCCCGTCTGGGCCCCCCATGGCTGGACGCGATGCGAAAGCAGCGGCTTGCGCGCTCGGGCGTTGGCCCCCCCCCCCCCCCCCCCCCCGCCGCCGCGCCCCTTCGAAGGTCGCGCACCAGAGGTCACCCCCGCCTGCAGGGCCACTCCTGCGCGTGGCCGGTCGGCATGGACGGGAGCGACGACCTCTTCGGCGGCGGCGATGCGGCGGGGGGTGCGGGGCCGTGCGTGACGGCCCGGATCGTGCGCGCGGAGGAGCGAGCTCGGCTTCTGAGCCCCCCGACGTGCCCCCGTCGTCCCAAAGAAGACCGCGATGGGAGGTGATTTGCGCCATTTTCGGCCTCTGGGGGGCCCTCGCCGGGCTTCGGCGGCGGCGGCGGGTGTGCTGCGGGGCCGTGCGTGATCGCCCGAATCGTGCGCGCGGAGGAGCGAGCTCGGCCTGGCATCGCTTGGACGCGTGCCGTTGTTCTCGGCTAGGACCATCGGGGAGCATCCTGGATCATCGAGCCAAAACAACAAACACGCACGAAGCCGAAACATGCACCGGGGGAAGGACGTCCGAGCGATGGCAAGAAGGGAGGAGGAGGAGAAGGAGGAGGAGGAGGAGGAGGAGGAGGAGGAGGAGGGAGGAGGAGGAGGAGGAGGAGGGGGATCGAAGGGTCGAGCCGCATCGCCGACGCAGCGGCAACGCGGCTCCATGTGGGGCCCCACCTTCTCCACGCCGAGGCGTCGCCGAGGTGTCGCCGAGGCATCGCCGAGGCATCGCCGATGCATCGGCGATGCGTCGCGGTCCTCCGACCCCATCTACAGTCGGGGCGCTGAAGAAGGAACCCTTTTCGTTCGGGAGGGGCTCGGTGTTCCTTAATTGTTGCACAGTTTGCTTTAGGTTGTGATTCGGTCTTCGATGAAAAATCGAAGTTTAACTTCTGGATAAAAAGGGGCCTCGTTCCTTGTTAATCGTTCCTTAGGTCAACGCCCCGACTGTACTCGGACCCCATTTGGGAGGCCTCTAATCGAGCTCGGCTAAATTTCCCAGGCATGCCCTCGTCGTAAGAGGAAACGAAAATACGCGACGGGAGGTTTTCTGGAAGCCTTTTCGCCCTCCAGGGGGCTTCGTTGAGCTTCGGGGCCGTCAGAAAACGACTCGGGATGAGACACCGGCCCTGGGGGAATGGCCCCAGAACTCCTGGTGACCGCGCATGGACAAAAAAAGAGACATCGAATGTCTGAGTCGGGGACAGGGGCATGACCACAATACTGCGTTCGTAATCGCCACCGCGAACAATGTCGTAGGCATTTTTCGGTACTTACTCAGGTTCGCGAGCGTGAGGCGTTCACCAGAAGATGTAAACTGCGTTTCGGGCAACGGCCAGCATGCTTCCGTGTCTCCAGGGGGCCCTCGCCTTTTTCTCCCCACCCCCACGCCGCCTCTCGTGAGGGAGCATCTTGGGGCTGTCGTTTTCTTTCGGGCGCTCGGATATCCTTTTCGGGCGTTCCTGCTGGCGGAGAGCCACCGTCCGCACCCGGCCCGAAGGAGCAAGTGTCCTTGATGATGCAGCGCTTCACGGCCTACGTCATCCAAATCTCGGACTTTGGAAGGACCTCGGAGGTGCCGAAGCGATTCAGCGATTTTGAGGCCCTCCACCAGTCTCTTCTCATGGAGAATCCAGGGCTGCAGCTGCCGCCCATGCCTCCCAAAGGGGGAAGCAGCACGGACTCGGCAGTGGTGGCGCAGCGCAAGGTCGACCTCGACAAGCTGCTCAGCGCCATGCTGCGGCAGCCCGAGGTGCTGATGGAGAAGCAGCTGTATCTGTGGAAGTTCCTGGGCCTGCCCAACCCCGCCGTCATCGCTGGCCGATTCGTCACGGTGCCGCGGTCGAGGCCGAGCACGATGAAGACGTTGTCGAAGTTGGTCACCGACCCGAAGTACAAGGACTGGCAGCCCGGGCGTAACCACCGCCGCCAGCCTTGGAGGCGCTTTCTCGCTTCGTTCTGCCAGTGGTAGGGCTTCGGGCTGCGCGCAGACAGGCCCCCAAGGTCGTCCCCGCTGGCCTCAACGGGTCTCCCGAATCGTCTGGGGCGGTCTCAACGCGCCAACCCTGGGGCGCAGAGCGCTCCGAGGGCGCCGCTGGAGGCGGCGCCAGGGTGTCGAGACCGCGCTGGGCTGCTCGGGAGACCTGTTGAGACCAGGGGGGGCCACCTGGGGGGGGCCTGTCTGCGCGCAGCCCGACGCCACAGCACGACGTGGCCGAGGCCTGTCCGGCTTCGGGTCTGCGGCGCCAGCAGAGGTTCCATCTGGGCTGCCCCGAGCTTCGCGGGCGAGTGGCGGTATCAGATCTGCTTCTCCACCGGGGGCGCCGGTCCCGGGGCGGCTGGAAGGTTTGCACCAAGGGAGGAAAAGCCACCCGGACCCGACAATTGACGTGTACTAAACGGCCTTGGGCGTGTACTAAACAGTCCTACCCTGTTCGATTTCTTCCTTGGGTGCGTTTCCTAAACGGCTTCGCTTGTCGGGGTGATTCGTATGGGGGTGGATTTTGCCCTCTATTGTACCCCCACTTGCCACCGTTGGGGTCTGCAGAGGGGTGCAGGATCTGCCTGCACGGCCAGGCCCCGGGCGGAAAGTGGGGCCCGTCGCGGCAGAGCGTCGCCCTGCCATGCTGCCTCCTGCATGGCTTCACGCGGGCGACGGGAGAAAACGGGGTCGATTGGGCCGACATTCGCGCGTCCAGTGGAAACCCATGCCAAGGAACACCCTGCTTGCCTCCAGGGTGCCCTGGGTTGCTTGGGGTTCGATGGTTCTGCGATGCAAGGCGTGACGTTCCCACGCCAAGAATCAATGGACGTCCTGGGGTCTCAGGGCTGGGTTTCTTGTGGAAGGTCTCTCGTGGTCGAGTTCCTACCGAATGAACTCCAGCCGCACTGGGACAGGCGCCCCCCGCTGGCGGAAGAAGAACACAGTTTTTTGTCGTTGTTGTTGCTGCTGTTGCTGCTGTTGCTGTTGTTGCTGTTTTTGCTGTTGCTGTTGCTGTTGTTGCTGCTGCTGCTGTTGTTGTTCGCCCCCGCTCGTGAGCAGGAGGACGTCTACCGCCTGGGCTTCCCGGCGATGACCGACCTGCTCATGGAGGGCCTGCGCGAGCTGCGGGGCGGGGATCCCGAGCGCGAGCACTGGTGCCGCCAGCCCGGCGGCCGCGGCGTGGTCTGCCAGCTGCTGAGCGGCGCGCTGGGCGCCGCGGACGCCGTGCGCGCCCGGCTGATCGAGGCGGACATTATCGCCCTGCTGCTGGGGCTCGCTGGGCAACAAATCCCGTCGTGTTCCACCTTTTTTTCGGGCCTCCCAGGAGGCCCTCGTCGCCTCCGCTGGATTCGCCTCGAGATTCTGGTCAGGACGCACCCCGGGAGAGGTCTGGGAGCAGCGGTATCGGTACTTGTTCGGTTTCCCCAAGAGTGGCCTCTGCTCGGCATCGCTCCGACGTGTGCTTTTTTCTCGGCGAGGGCCATGGAGGAGCATGTTGGGCCATCTTGCGACAAAAAGCGCACGCACGAAGCCGACCAAATGCACGGGGAATGGACGTCCGAGCGATGGCGAGATCATGGGAGCCTCGTGTACCCTTAGAGTACATTCGCGTCGACTGGCGCCTGGTAATCGATGGGATCGGATAGCGCAGATGTAGCGTCGATTCATCGGCTAGCGTCGATGAAAAACGTCGACTGGCGCCGGTTCGCAGGAGCCACCAAGATGGTATTGGGGGCTCCATGGGTTGCCGCAGAAGGCTCGTGGAGCGCGACGAGGGCGCCCTCGACGACGCACGGGTAGCCCTCAACGTGATCGTGGCGCGGGAGGCGGAGAAGTTCTCGCAGTTGCTGGCCGCATTCCTGCGGCGCGGCGGCATGTCCCAGCTCGCCGTGCTGGCGCAGCGCCCAAAGTGCCAGGAGAGCCGAAGAAGAAAGAGCGGCCTGCACATGAGCTTTCGGAGCTCAGCGCGGATTTCTCGGATCAGCGTTGGACCCCCCTTTTTGCGGCGCTTCTGGCGCCGCCCCTGGCGCGCTCTGCGAGCCAGGGATGGGGCTCCAGCGCCGATCCGAGAAGTCCGCGGGGACCTCCGAAACAGTTCATGCTCATGCCATTTTCCCTGTTCCTCTGAGGAGTTCGTCTCCAAGCTGCTCTGGCTTGCCTGGGACGCGCAGACGCGCGCGCCGTTCGTGCAGCCTGGGGGCCAGGGCCTCCGGCTGCTGCAGGCGCTGCAGTGCATGTGTAATGGGAGCAGAGCGATTTGCCTCCGTCCGTATGCCTCCTTGGCTCAGGGTGTCGAGAGGGAGATCCCCTCGACTGAAGCGCGCTCAACCGGGCTAGGTGCACCCAAAACTCAGGGGCAACGATAGGGGGGGGGATAGGCATAGGGGGGATGCATCGACCCTCAATTGCCCATTGATCGCCGATAGGTGTCCGATAGCCCCAACCTCATCAGGAATGTGCGGACTCACTATCGGAGGCCTATCGCCGATCTATCGGCCACGTATCGCCGATTCCATGTCGATGTTTCCACCCCTATCCTTATTCCCCCCTATCGTTGCCCCTCAGAAGCACATCCAGCGAACTTGATATCGTACAGTTGAGTTTTTGAGTGGGTCCCCGGCTGCTGCAGGCGCTCGTGAGCTCGCCGACCGCCACCTGCTCGCTGCTGGGGGCCGTGCTGCTCTCCGGCCTGATCGCCAGCGGAGATCGGAGGAGGAGAAAGTTGGTGCGGCCGAGCGAGTGGGCAATGCCCGGGATTGGTGGGCCCATTGTCCACCACCACTACCATAGGTAGGAGAGGGAGGAGGAGGAGGAGGAGGAGGAGGAGGAGGAGGAGGAGGAGGAGGAGGAGGAGAGGGAGGAGGAGGAGGAGGAGGAGGAGGAGGAGGAGGAGGAGGAGCACGAGGAGGACCTCCTCATCCTCCCTTCTCCCCCGTCCTAGAGGAGGAGAAGGAGTAGGAGTAGGAGTAGGAGTCAAGCTAGCCAGCTCGAGCGAGTCAAGCATGGCATGCCCAGTCCCACCCGCCCTCCCACAACATAAGAAGCAAAGCTGGCACAACTGGGGGCCGAAGTCACACCGGCCAGCCGGTTTGGTACAGCTGATGCGGCCGCGATGGCGGTTGCCGACGGGAACTGGCGAGCGCGTGTTGAATGCCGCGCACGCATTGCCAGACGAGTCGAGAATGGCCCGGTACACCGCAGGAAGCCAGAGGTGGCCGGAGGAAGCCCGACGGTCTGACAGGACACCCCAAAGCATTTTTGTGAAAAAGCATTGGGTTTTTGATGTTTTTATGTTGAAATGCTTGCAAACACACGGTGTTCGGTAGGATTCTGACATGAACGCGCGAGTGTGCTCTTTGTGGTATTTTTTGCACAGGATTCGCGGCCTGGGTGCATGACAGAGCATCGCGAGTGCACCGCGCGATGACGTGAAATCGCTGGATTTGACAGAATTCTTAAGATTCCTATGGTTTTCCTATGATTTCAGCAAGAGAGCCCGGGCGGGAAATTTGTACAATTTTTGTGAAAAAGCATTGGGTTTTTGATGTTTTTATGTTGAAATGCTTGCAAACACACGGTGTTCGGTAGGATTCTGACATGAACGCGCGCGTGTGCTCTTTGTGGTATTTTTTGCAATGGATTATCGCCGTGGACGACAGGACGTCCATGTCGAGAGGAAAAAATAAGAAAAATGTTGATTTTATATTTTTTTACAGGTTAGGATGGGACCCCCCGGATGCGGCCCCTAATGGCCGGCCTGAGGGGAGAGTAGGAGTATATTCTAATAAGGAATAAGGATAGGAGTAGGAGGAGGAGGAGGAGGAGGAGGAGGAGGAGGAGGAGGAGGAGGAGGAGGAGGAGGAGGACCTTCTGAGAAATGTCAGGGATGGTTTTACAGTGGGGGCGCTGAAGAAGGAAGACTTTTCCTTGGGGAGGGGCTGCGTGTTCCGTAAATGCTTCACAGTTTGCCTCAGATGTTTCTTGGGTTTTCGATGGGAAATCGAAGTTTAGCTTATGGAAAGAAGGGGGCCTCGTTCCTGATTTATCGTTCCTTGGATCGACGCCCCGACTGGAATCGCTTGGTCGCGTTCCCGATGTCGCGACCCTTCCCTCGCCCTCGCCTTCCCCAGGGGTGCTCTCGTCGCCCCTCGAGGTTCTGGCCAGAGCGCACACCACCCCAAAGAGAGAGCCTCGAGGGTCGGCAGCGTCATACCTTCGGCGTCACCCCAACATACTTATACTATATGTGCGTCGCCCCCCCCAGGGGCGACGCGCGCACCGAGAAATCTTATAGTATAGGCGTCGTTGTGGGCGCTTTCTGGCCACGCCACGCGTGTGTGTTCGGGTCGGACACGTCATGCCTCTGTGCGTCCCATACCTCGTCGCTCTCCTAGGAGACTTCGACGCTGAGCCGGCGCACCGCTTGGAGGCGCTGCGGCTCGTGCGGGGGGTCCTCTCGCGCCCCGAGGCGGTCAACAACGACATGCAGTTCGCGAAGACGCTGTGCGGGGCCAGCGCGGCGCTGGCGCGGCTGGCCGCGATGCTGGAGGATACCGACCTGGCGCCCATGATCCTCGGCCTGCTCTGTGCCACGAAGCCCCCGGCCGCCAAGCTGGCCCAGATCTCCGGCAACCTGGCCGGCATGGCGAGCGGCTCAGCAGATCCGCTCTTGCCGCTGGGGGCTCACATTCGGGGCCGCCGATCCGACGGACCTCGAAGACGAAAAAAACGCCATAAACATAAACTTTTGGCAGTCCGCGCGGATTTCTTGGCGCGGAGCGCGCCAGGGGCGGCGCCGGAGGCGCCGTCGGGGAGGGGGGTCCAGCGCGGATCCAAGAAATCCGCTCGGAGCGCGAAAAGTTTATGCTTAAGACGTTTTTCTTCTTCTAGGACCCACCGGTGGATCGAGAGTGGGCGTTCGTTCGGGGCCTCGATCTGGTTGGCGCTCAGCGCATTGGAGTGGACCGGGCCCTGCGGATCAGGAGCAG